GTGAGTGAGTGAGTGAGTGAGTGAGTGTGTGAGTGAGTGAGTGTGCGAGTGTGAGTGAGTAAGTGAGTGAGCGTAAGTGAGTGAGTGTGAGTGAGTGAGTGAGTCACCTGCACGTGTGAAAGGTCGGACTCCTTGAACTGCTGCAGAACTGACATCGCTCCCTCCTCGTTAAACTCCCTCAGCGCATCCAGCGCCCGCTCGTCCAGATCCACGTACGCCACCAGCCCTGAACACACACACACACACACACCCTCCTTCATCCATCAGGACTCGACTGAAGCAGAAGTGATGCTCCAGATTGTCCAGTGTAGAAACACATCCTCCTGAGAGCAGTCATTGAGAGCGGTTTGAGTGGTCCAGACGGTCCGTCTCACCTGTCTGGAAGATGTTGTCCAGGCTCTCGGCGACCTTCTGCGGCAGACCGGCGTCCAGCAGCGTCTGGTAGTTCTCTGAGTGTGTGGCCGTCACATCCATGGGCTCTTCTTCTTCTTTGAGCAGACCGGAGCTGCCATTCACCTCAGCAGCCATTACTCTGAGACAGACAGAGAGAGAGAGACATGAGTGTCAATCATGTGATCACAGATGCCATGAAACCAGGCTTCTCTAGAAGTTCATGAAGCAGCTACAGGCGGCATATGAGACTGAGAGAAAAGCACATTACAGTGTCATGAATCCCCCATTTCAGCACTGGTCTTTTACAGCCCAGATCTAGGGCTGTGCAATTCATCACACGCGACTGTCATGTGCATCTCATCAGTAAAGCCGGTTCTGTGACACGTACTTTCAGATGGAGTGCATTTAATACACAGAGCCGTAGTTCACTGACAAGCTACGCAATATCGCGTTCATAATCTCAGGCGATTCATCTGCGATTATGAATGCGATATTGCGTAGCTTGTCAGTGAACTAGGGCTCTGTGTAGTGAATGCCGCTCCATCTGAAAGCAGGTGATGGAGATTTACTACTAATCACAGAACCGGCTTTACTGACGAGATGCGCATGACAATCACATGCGATTAATTGCACAGCCCTACTCAGATCTGAAAAAGACTAAAAAGGCCAAAATGATCACGGTTATCAGTATTATCACGGTATTGTTAAAATGTGCTGGAAATATTCAAAAAGTACTGACACACAAATCATTTCACCAAGTTTTGTTTTACATTTAAAATCAACAAACAACAAATAAAATGAGTTTTTGTTTGCATAATCACTAAAACAATAACATTGCCAGGGATTATTCCATTAAAAAATAAATAATAAAAATAAAAACAATAAAGGGATGGTTCACCCCAAAAAATGTAAATTCTGTGATCATTTACTCAGCCTCATGTCGTTTAACATTTCTTTCGTGGGACATAAAGCAAGGTATTTTGAAGACAAAGTGGTTTCGGTTAACAATGATGACTTTCATTATATGAACAACAAATATTGAGATGTTTATCAAATGATCTTCTTTTATGTTACAGTTTATGTTGAGCCGTTGTAGCCTAAACGTTTATGTGTAATAAATTATGCTGAATCAAATAAAATATTTCTTTCTAAAGAAAGACTACTTGATACTTTCTTTTAACACAATAATAAACTATACACACACACACACACACACATAAAATATGAATATATAAATACAAACATTTTAATATACAAATTATTAAACAAATATCTAACACTCAAATACATACTGAAGAGTTTATCAATTTTTTTTATATAAAAACTATATTATATAAAGGTATGAGAATATAATTAAAATACACAATTTAATATAAAATATAAATTGTTATATATAAGTATTAATATTCTATATAAAGCATATATATATTAATATTATATATATGCAATATATAAATATACAACCACTTCTATATAATACAATTTTATACAAATATATATATATAAAAAATACTTTTTACATTTACATAGAATTCTTACTGTATATGTGAATATATGAAAATTTATACAAACACTTTTATATATACACTATTACACAAACAAACACGTGAGTGTGTGTGTGCGTACCTACGTGTATACAAACACACACACACACACACACACACACACACACAGGCCTACATACAGTGTATATACAATTTCCGTCTTATATTATATACAGAAACATTCATACTACATATTAGATACTAATTATTATATAATTATAAATAAGTATATATATTAAGGTGTATAAAGTAATTTCATATTATACATATATAAATATTCATAGAGACATACATGTGTGTATATACCCGTATGTGTGTGTATAGATGGATAGATAAAAAATTATATGAATACATAAACACACAGGTCAGATATTTGAACCAATGAAATCTATACTGCTTAGGGATGTTCATTTCGGTTATTTTTCCTAACCGACAACCGACGCTCGTTAACCGTTAACCGACAAGATTATTTTAAATTAGAATTGAATTAAATTAGAAAGGATAAGTGTCTGTGACCCGTTAAAAAATACTAGCATTTGTTTCCCGGGGATTAATTTTACATTAGCAGCAAACAACAGAACATGAGGATTCACATGCTTCATATCACATCACGCACCTGCAGCGCTTCTGCCAGCAGAGAAAAACAAAGCTAGGTTATACATATATACAGTGGGTACGGAAAGTATTCAGACCCCCTTAAATTTTTCACTCTTTGTTATATTGCAGCCATTTGCTAAAATCATTTAAGTTCATTTTTTTTGCTCATTAATGTACACACAGCACCCCATATTGACAGAAAAACACAGAATTGTTGACATTTTTGCAGATTTATTAAAAAAGAAAAACTGAAATATCACATGGTCCTAAGTATTCAGACCCTTTGCTGTGACACTCATATATTTAACTCAGGTGCTGTCCATTTCTTCTGATCATCCTTGAGATGGTTCTACACCTTCATTTGAGTCCAGCTGTGTTTGATTATACTGATTGGACTTGATTAGGAAAGCCACACACCTGTCTATATAAGACCTTACAGCTCACAGTGCATGTCAGAGCAAATGAGAATCATGAGGTCAAAGGAACTGCCTGAAGAGCTCAGAGACAGAATTGTGGCAAGGCACAGATCTGGCCAAGGTTACAAAAAAAATTCTGCTGCACTTAAGGTTCCTAAGAGCACAAGGTGCCTCCATAATCCTTAAATGGAAGACATTTGGGACGACCAGAACCCTTCCAATCGAGGGAAAGATGAATGCGGCCAAGTACAGGGATATCCTGGACAAAAACCTTCTCCAGAGTGCTCAGGACCTCAGACTGGGCCGAAGGTTTACCTTCCAACAAGACAATGACCCTAAGCACACAGCTAAAATAACGAAGGAGTGGCTTCACAACAACTCTGTGACTGTTCTTGAATGGCCCAGCCAGAGCCCTGACTTAAACCCAATTGAGCATCTCTGGAGAGACCTAAAAATGGCGGCCCACCAACGTTTCCCATCCAACCTGACAGAACTGGAGAGGATCTGCAAGGAGGAATGGCAGAGGATCCCCAAATCCAGGTGTGAAAAACTTGTTGCATCTTTCCCAAAAAGACTCATGGCTGTATTAGATCAAAAGGGTGCTTATACTAAATTTCTAAGCGGTATGTGTGGAGAAAACTAGGCACTGCTCATCACCTGTCCAATACTGTCCCAACAGTGAAGCATGGTGGTGGCAGTATCATGCTGTGGGGGTGTTTTTCAGTTGCAGGGACAGGACGACTGGTTGCAATTGAGGGAAAGATGAATGCGGCCAAGTATAGGGATATCCTGGATGAAAACCTTCTCCAGTGTGCTCAGGACCTCAGACTGGGCCGAATGTTTACCTTCCAACAAGACAATGACCCTAATCACACAGCTAAAATAACGAAGGAGTGGCTTCACAACAACTCTGTGACTGTTCTTGAATGGCCCAGCCAGAGCCCTGACTTAAACCCAATTGAGCATCTCTGGAGAGACCTAAAAATGGCTGTCCACCAACGTTTACCATCCAACCTGACAGAACTGGAGAGGATCTGCAAGGAGGAATGGCAGAGGATCCCCAAATCCAGGTGTGAAAAACTTGTTGCATCTTTCCCAAAAAGACTCATGGCTGTATTAGATCAAAAGGGTGCTTCTACTAAATACTGAGCAAAGGGTCTGAATACTTAGGACCATGTGATATTTCAGTTTTTCTTTTTTAATAAATCTGCAAAAATGTCAACGATTCTGTGTTTTTCTGTCAATATGGGGTGCTGTGTGTACATTAATGACGAAAAAAAATTAACTTAAATGATTTTAGCAAATGGCTGCAATATATCAAAGAGTGAAAAATTTAAGGGGGTCTGAATACTTTCCGTACCCACTGTATGTAACGAATAAATAGGCCTATACGAGAAACATATTTTTACTTAAATTAAGAAAACGAAAGAAAAACTGTAACAAGTAGCCTAGTATGCAGAGTTTCGGTTTATTGTTGTGCTGCGTGAAAGGAAACAGACGGCAGAAAGCAGCTTCCTATTATTCTTTAGGTTTATTTTACAAAAGCACAAAGATTTGTTTGTATTGTGAATGTACACAAATAAAAGCAAACCTTATACAATTCTGATGCAGTGTTTCCCCCTAGGTTTACGGCTTTGGGGGGGGGTTCTGTTTTTTTTGTTTTTTTTCTGGACTCCTTTTTAACATTTAAATTTAATTTTATTAGTCAAAAAGCATTTTTGCACAATTTAACAAATTTATTAAAAGTTTAACAAATATTACATGTTTAGGGCCCTATGAAATGTTTTTTTTGTTCCAACCTTGTTTTATTGTAACCAAATTCTGTTTTAGCATGTCTAATTATTTGAAAGCATAAAACAAGTTTCATTTATTCTTACAATAGCCTTATGATTTTTTTGCTCAGAAATTCTGTGTTGTGTATTTACATTTTTTTTAAGGCATAAAACATTCATTTAATCTATCTTTTAAGTAATGAAAATTAAACAAATTTAATTTTTTGGAAAATAAAGGTCATTTAATATTACAATTAAAACATTGAAGAAATATTGTATGATTATTCCTTAAAAATGCAGAGAGCGCGACCATAACGTAGAGACAGAAATGACACGCCGTCGTATAAATAAGATAAATAACATAAGGCTATTTAGTTTGCTTAATAAGTTAAGTTAAGCTTTGCTACCTTGACAATGCAGCCTGTTCATCATCATCATACAATACAGTCAGTCAAACATATGGAGAAAAACTATGTAGTAAAGTCTGTGCCGTTAAGCGTTATCACCGTACCGCCGTGATGTTATGCAAAACATTTTGTTTTACGTGGATATTGGAACACGAGTGAAGTACATAAATAATATTTTGGCATTCAAATACATGGCGAATACGAAAACATTTGATTTTGTGTGGAATGAGAGACGCAACATTGGTTTCAGTTTCGTTTTAGCCGAAATTAATTCGTTTTGGCTGGTCGTTTATATAGCTATAGCTTCTTATATTTCTAATTCTTGTTCTTTTCTGAATACTGTTAATTGAAAGGATTTGTTGTGGAGTGAGGGGAACTAAAATAGCCTAGCTATGTTTAAGGTGTTTATTAAATTATTATAATGTTTGTAAACATTTCGTGTCGACATCAGGCCTATTTCTGAATGAAATAATAAAATGCGACTTATGTTTTTTTCCCCCTAAAAACAATTTTTTTTATATGCGTTCTGTATTTTACCCATGCAGCAAACCTTTTTAAATATTTTGATAAATTACTGAAAAAATAAATAAAGACTTTTTAAACCGTTTAACTGATTGTATTAATCGGTCAAAATTCTTACGGTCGATTAACCGGTTAAAATGAACATCCCTAATACTGATCAATAGCAAATTATTATGTGATAATGCTGCCAGACAGAAACACAACATAAACACACACACACTCTCTCATCACACACACACACTCTCATCACACACACACAGCAATGCTAACGCGCGTGTCTGTGTGTGCATTAGCGCCTGTAACGGGTTATTATCGAACTGTAGCTCACACGTGACACCCGTTACCCGCCACACCCCCGCCGCTCGCGGAATAAACCCGTTATAACGCGCCAAACCGGGAGACGGAGCTTCCCGCGCCGCGCCGCGCGGCCTACAGCAGACAGACACAGTTCAAACACACAAACCCGCCAAAAGCAGCGCCGCCGCGCGCTCTCTCCGCGGTTCTCATGCGCGGGGATCGAGAGAGCGCTGCGGGGCGCTTCATGAGCGGCAGAACTCACCGAGACACGGTAAACCTCCTCAGATCGAGCCACGAGACACAGCGAGACGGTCCCGTCGCTCAAACAACAGCGCCACTTCCTCGCGCGGCGGACCGGCTGCGTCACGGCGCACGCCACGCGGGAGCGCGCACGCACGGGGCGGGGCATCCGCGTGCACGGCCGCAACGGTCTCGCTGATTAAAGTGAAAATTATTAATATTTATGGCTTAGTTTGTGTAGTTTTAATTTTAAATTGACTACTTTATTTCTTTATGATTTTGTGACATTTGCTCCTTTTAATGCTGTCCTGATTTATCTTATAATGCAACTTATTATTGTTATATTTCTAATCTTGCTCTTCTTTGTATGTTAATAAGTTAGCCTTATGAAATAACTTAAATGTGCAAAATGTGTAAGAAAATAAAAAGTCTAAAAGTTAAAAAAATATGATGTGGTCAGTCACTCAGCTCATATCGGTCCATTAAAACCACATTTGCTATTAAATAAGAGAGAGAGTAATCCATGTACATACATCTCAGTGATTCTGAGTTTGTTCCAAAAGCACACGCTTAGTTTGCTGTATATGGTATTTTCCTAATAAAAGAAATAGTTGCATAATATATATTTCACATTCCAACATGTCACTTTGAAACGGTACAAATCTAATCCAATCAGAGGCGCCGGCTGAGCGGGTCACGTGTGGGTCGCGATGACGTCACTTTTTGTTTTTGTTCTGCTGTCATCACATCATATGCGCCGTTATGCGAGAGCACACATCCGCTTCGAGGTATTTTAATCATGATTATAAAGAAGACGGACTCTATATCAGAAGGTTAACGCGTTCGAATCACTAGGTGTCAATTTAACACTCAGATTAAACATTAAACACTCAGAATATGAGGACATATTTCCCCCCATTTTCATCATAACCCCAGCACACATTATAGCTCCATGCCTCCGTGACGCTAATATAAGCTCATCACCTCTGCTCTACACCGAGTTCTGCTAGCTTCCAGATAAAGCTGGCTTGATGAATACTGCTGAACTCATAATGACAATGCTTCTTTACTGGATCAGTGTTGGTACTGTTATAGTTTTATGAGGACAATAGAAGCAATCACAACTAACAAGAGCAATGATATGCTAGAACAAGTCTCAGTTAGCTTAACACGCGTAGCAAGGTTGATCAAAAGAAAACAAATAGAATACAAAAAGATTAGAGAAGCTAGAGTTAGTTTTTTTTAAAGAAAACAAGCAGTTAGTAAATGATTAGAGTGTAAGTCTAAAAGAAAAGTTTTTTTGTTAAGAATAGAATTAGAATAGAGTGCGCTAGAGTTAGAAGGTCAAATAAAGATGGGAGAAGTGTTTTTAGCCGAATTTTGAATGTAGCATCCTATGACCCCTTTAAAACCGATGATGTGAACAGCCATACAAAAAATTGGATCTAAGCAATAAATTGGAATAGAGCACTAATGCTTGCATGGTGAACGTAGCCATAGAAACTTGGGATGTGCTTTTTTGACTTGAGGTCACTAAGCATCCGGGACGCTCTAGCAAACACATAGCAGCAACACACTAAAATGCTCTAGAATTCCTTTGCAATCACAAGGCATAACCCTCCAAAATCATGCTGCGACGACTTCTGTTTTTTTTTTTTTTTTTTTTTATATTTTGTTTTCGTTTCATTTTTAAAGTTTTATTAGTTTTTCTAGTTTATAATTTTTTTTTTACTACATAAAGTTAAACTAAAATGAGAAAATGTCACCTTGGCAATTAACCAAAAAAAAACAAAAAAAAACTTTTTAATATTTTATTTCAAGTAACAAAAATGTTATTTTTAATGGTTTTAATTGAAGAAAGATTTAAACATTCTATAATCCGAATATTTCACCCTGTGGTTTGAAACATGCATGTGTTCCTGGAAACGCTTCAGATCGACTCAGAAGGCTTTATTTCTCAAACCAGCTACAGATCTACATCATGTCACTCTCCTCATCTGAAGCATGGGCTCATGTGAACGGCTAGAGAGAGAGACGGGCTCAGGCACAAGACGTGATGATGATGATGGTGGTGGAGCTTCAGTCGTCGTGCTTGAGCTTCCGGATCTTGCCCTTGTGTCTGTCGATCTCTCTCTGCAGACGCTCGATCTCCTTCTTATGATGGTCGATCTCTTCTTCGTGATGCTTCTTCAGAGCCATCAGCTGCTCCTTCTCCTTCTGCCTGTGGAAGCACGTCATCATCAGATCAGGCTTGATTTCGTTTCGTTTGCACTTCATGACCACAGATTGAGCCCTTGTCCACCCACACAAACACACACACACACACACTCACACACACACACTCACACACACACACACACAC